TTAAGACAGCCCAAAAAAAATACATGTAACAATTCAGAAAGAAAACCATTTCAGTAAATAATACTAACAAAAAATACTTGCTACATTAATGTTACCTTTGGAGTGTGAAAACCACAGATGCATTTCAGCACACCTCCAAGCAAGTTTGTCTGGCCACGAGACAGCATCGGACATTTCTCAATCTGTAAGCATAATAACAAATGTAATGCACAATACAAGTGAGTCCCTTAACAGAGCATACAATACTTCATTAAATTCATATATTAATTAATTCATTGATTAATTTCTAGGACACGAGTCACTATTTATCTTATATACAGTGGTGTGAAAAAGTGTTGGCCCCCTTCCTGATTTCTTATTTTTTTTGCATGTTTGTCACACTTTAATGTTTCAGATCATCAAACAAATTTAAATATTAGTAAAAGATAACACAAGTGAACACAACATGCAGTTTTTAAATGAAGGTTTTTATTATTAAGGGAAAACAAAATCCAAAACTACATGGCCCTGTGTGAAGAAGTGTTTGCCCCCCTGTTAAAACTGTGGTTTATCACACCTGAGTTCAATTTCTCTAGCCACACCCAGGCCTGATTACTGCCACACCTGTTCGCAATCAAGAAATCTCTTAAATAGGACCTGCCTGACAAAGTGAAGTAGACCAAAAGATCCTCAAAAGCTAGACATCATGCCGAGATCCAAAGAAATTCAGAAACAAATGAGAAAGAAAGTAATTGAGATCTATCAGTCTGGAAAAGGTTATAAAGCCATTTCTAAAGCTTTGGGACTCCAGCGAACCACAGTGAGAGCCATTATTCACAAATGGCAAAAACATGGAACAGTGGAGAACCTTCCCAGGAGTGGCCGGCCGACCAAAATTACCCCAAGAGCACAGCGACGACTCATCCAAGAGGTCACAAAAGACCCCACAACAACATCCAAAGAACTGCAGGCCTCACTTGCCTCAGTTAAGGTCAGTGTTCATGACTCCACCATAAGAAAGAGACTGGGCAAAAATGGTCTGCATGGCAGAGTTCCAAGACGAAAACCGCTGCTGAGCAAAAAGAACAAAGGCTCGTCTCAGTTTTGCCAGAAAACATCTTGATGATCCCCAAGACTTTTGGGAAAATACTCTGTGGACTGACGAGACAAAAGTTGAACTTTTTGGAAGGTGTGTGTCCCATTACGTCTGGCGTAAAAGTAACACTGCATTTCAGAAAAAGAACATCATACCAACAGTAAAATATGGTGGTGGTAGTGTGATGGTCTGGGGCTGTTTTGCTGCTTCAGGACCTGGAAGACTTGCTGTGATAAATGGAACCATGAATTCTGCTGTTTACCAAAAAATCCTGAAGGAGAATGTCCGGCCATCTGTTCGTGACCTCAAGCTGAAGCGAACTTTGGTTCTGCAGCAGGACAATGATTCAAAACACACCAGCAAGTCCACCTCTGAATGGCTGAAGAAAAACAAAATGAAGACTTTGGAGTGGCCTAGTCAAAGTCCTGACCTGAATCCTATTGAGATGCTGTGGCATGACCTTAAAAAGGCGGTTCATGCTCGAAAACTCTCCAATGTGGCTGAATTACAACAATTCTGCATAGATGAGTGGACCAAAATTCCTCCACAGCGCTGTAACAGACTCATTGCAAGTTATCGCAAATGCTTGATTGCAGTTGTTGCTGCTAAGGGTGGCCGAACCAGTTATTAGGTTTAGGGGGCATACACTTTTTCACACAGGGCCATGTAGTTTTGGGTTTTGTTTTCCCTTAATAATAAAAACCTTCATTTAAAAACTGCATGTTGTGTTTACTTGTGTTATCTTTGACTAATATTTAAATTTGTTTGATGATCTGAAACATTAAAGTGTGACAAACATGCAAAAAAATAAGAAATCAGGACGGGGGCCAACACTTTTTCACACCACTGTATATGTGTGTGTATATATATATATATATATATATACACCTTGCTACGTGTACTGCGTTAGGCTAACCGAGACTTGTCATTTGCACTTATATATTGTTGCTCTTTTGTTAGTTTTGACTGCTTTTATTGTCCTCATTTGTAAGTCGCTTTGGATAAAAACTGACTAAATGTAAATGTAAACCGACGACGAAGAAACAAGATGGGCGGGGCTTCGATGCGTCTCTGTCGTCATCGGCAAGCGACGAGTGATTCAACTCGGATACGACAATTGTGACATTTCAGCGTCAGTAGTTATATTGCGTTTGTTTATAAAGAACCGTTTGCTCGGTAACATTTCGATAATGACCTCTCGATTGTGTTTCTTTTTATTCAGACCAACAATACCCAGATCACGTGGTGCGGGAAGTCTTTCGGTACCCAAAACATCATGTACAGCTAGAAGCGAGCACGAGGAGGCACAGAAAAGAGCTGCGAACACCTCTTTATATTTCACTGATTCGTTACTGGGGTCTGCTGTGTCACACAACGGAGGCGGATTGAGTTTCTGCAGGAGCTTCTCCACTTCTGTGTGCAGGACTGAAGCCACCGGACAGCTGCAGTCAACACACTATCACCTGGTTTACACCTGCAAAGTAAGATTATACTCTTCTGTCAGTGTTTACCTTATTATTTAGAGGAACTTTTGACCACTTAGGTAATGTTCAGTCATTTAATAGTATATTTTGTCTCTAGGTGTGCTCCACTCGCTCTATGAAGACAATATCCAAGCTGGCCTATCACAAGGGTGTTGTCATAGTAACTTGTCCTGGATGTAACAACCACCACGTGATCGCTGATAATCTGCAGTGGTTCTCTGACCTGGAGGGGAAAAGGTGTGTATGTTCTCGTGCAAGAACATTATTTAAATTAAAAAAACAAAAAAAACAGGGTTTTCCAAATTTTTAGATGTGAGGGGAAATATGATGTGAGGGACCCCCATCCTACAAATGAAAAAGCATTATATTATAATACATTTATTTTCATGAAGAAAGACCCAATTTATACTGTGAAAAATTACTAATTTATAAATGTGTGTAAAATTTTATTTTGGAAAATATTTCTATTACAGTTTTTCTCCTCATAATAGTACCGTACCCCCTGCTAGATGTACGGTTTATTTATTTAAATCTAATTCTAATCTTCTTCTTATTTTAATATATTTTAATCATTTTAATTTGTACAATTATTAATTTAATAATTTATTTTTATCCATTTTTATTTCATCTTTATTATTATTATTATTTATTTTTGTATATATTGTTTTTCTCTAAACTTTTCCACAGACCCCCTAGTGGATCCCAGTTTAAAAACCCCTGTATACAATGATTAAAATGTATTTTTCCAAAAAATTAATTATACATATAAAAATGATTTATTTATTTATTTTTGTTTTATCAAATGTTTAGGTATATTTTATCTAATTTTAAAATGTATATTAATTTTAATAATTCTATTTTTTATTTGTTTTAATTTTCATTTAATTGATTTTTTTTTCAATTATTTTTTATTTATTTATTTTTTTACACTGTTTTTCTCTAAACTTTTCCACGGACCCCCTAGCACTCCATTGCAGCCCCCTGCAGGCCCCCAGTTTGAAAATACCCGCTTTAAAGCATTATGACCAAAACTTTACTGAGAAGTTGACTGCTGTATGTTCTGTGTTGCCATAGAAACATAGAGGAGATCCTGGCTGCTAAAGGAGAATCAGTGCGAAGAGTTCAAGGAAACGAGGCCCTGGAAATTGTTGCAGAGGAATCAATAAAGGAGGCATCAAGAAATAATCCAGATGAACAGAAACCACCACATCTGAGCGATGATTCAGACAAAACATGATTGACATTTGTCAACTGCATCACTGGACATTTATTATTGTGATATTTTTAATAATCTTCTTAATAAACCATTAAAAACAACTATCTGATCACTTTGGAGTAGTTGTTTTTAAGTGTTTGGCTCCCCCTTGTGGTCACTGCAACATTTTCACTTGAATGCCCTTTGATATTTTCAACTGCATCACACTTTATCAGCGACCTTCGACTGGTAAACATGAAGACAACCAAATCAATCGTTTTTGCAACACCTTTACGCTTTTGTTCACGAGTTACATACGTATATATTAATGTATTTGTTTTATTCTTATATTTTAATATTTAAAAAAAAAAATCTTATTTTTTTCTTTCAATTAAAGGGAAATTATGTTTGTTCATTGTTTAAAAAACTGAAAAATGAATAAAAAAACAAGCAAAAAGAAATATTTTAAGAGGGACATTCGTCTTTCTCTTTCTGGAAAATAAAAATGTATTTTCATTAAATAATAATAATAATAATATAATTTGGCAATGAATAGTAATAAAATAATTATAAACTTAAAATGAAAGGCTCTCTTTAAAAAAAGAATAGACGTTTGGGAATAAATTATTTTTTACAAAATTAGAAAAGTCAAACCAAAACACTGCAATAAACCCAATTCCAAAATAAGAGAAACTTTCTTCGAAGCGATGACTTTACAAGTTTCGTGAAGTTTGCGTAGCGTGCTGTGACGCAGTCACGTTCAAAAGCGACAGCATATAAATAAAAAAAACCGGTAGAATGGCAATCAGCGGAAACAGGGATCCGACGATGGGCGGGGCTTAGTGGTTAGGATAAAAAATAATTTTCCTTCTTCAGTTCTATACAATCTATTCTCAGTTCAGCATATATTAAAGTTTCTCAATATCATTACTCAATTGTAAAATTATTGTCTAAACCCCTAAAGAAGCGTCGCATAGACAGAGTGGGTCACATGACACCAGTTACTTTTCTCAGCGCTGCACTAAACGGACCACTCACAATCGTTTGCAGTTACTAGACACGGCTGCTTTAAAACAACATTCTACTGAAGCGGTTTCCACTCACATGTCAGGAATCAATCTCGGGCGTTTGTAGATTTATAAGATGGTACTTTCTAATCTACAAATGTCTCCAGTAAGGCAAAAAACGTCAAGAGATTTGAATGAGCCTCAATGGGGACTCGCCTTTCCGAGTCACTGAGCGCCCCTGGAGGAACAGAAATGCCCCATGAACATTTACTAACTACGTACAGTAACATTGGAGTACTTAATCGGCCGTGGCTGATAGTGAAACCAGGCGGAAATTGAGCATACGCCGCCCAGACACATGCCCGATCATCTAAAGAACGAGTTTATGCATTCAGCCGCACTCCATACTTGAAGAAAACGCTGGTTTTGTTACTGTACCAGCATGAACTCAGCCGGACTGCTGTGTGAACCCGAGCGGCCGCGGCACCGTCCTTTCCTGATCGGGGTGAGCGGAGGAACGGCCAGCGGAAAGGTACGACACACTACATGCATGATGGAAACTGATGCATACTGCTGTTATATGCATGCAAACCTACAAATGTTGTCCCTTAGATAAGTCACAGTCAACATGTACCTCTTTTGTGCCTTAAATATATAGTGCATGTTTGCATTTAAGTGAAATGCATGCAGGTTAAATCAAGATCTATAAAATGCACAAGAAAACAGCATGCAAAATGTAATTATAGAGAAAGAACGTGTTAATAATTCATATAGCAATAGCAACAGGCCCTTAAAATCTAGTGTCCACTTGTAACAGTATCTGTAATGATATTCAGGCTGATGCAATTGCAAACGAGATTGTCAGTCCAGGTCATTAACTGCTGTTTTTCTCCTGTCAGTCCACAGTGTGCGCAAAAATCATGGAGCTGTTGGGTCAGAATAAGGTGGATCATCACCAGAGGAAGGTCACTATCGTCAGCCAGGACAGTTTCTACCGGGTTCTCACTCCAGAACAGAAGGCCAAAGCTTTGAAAGGCCAGTACAACTTTGACCATCCAGGTAAACTGTTTGTGGACACAGACTCAGATGTACGCCTGTCTCGCAGAGGTAATGCACAAATTATAGTTAAAGCAAACTCTTGTGTCTTTTTATGTTATATAATATAAAATACACATTTCACATTTTCATCTAGTGTTTATAGCAAGTTTTTTTTTTTTTTTTTGCATTTTCAAATGATTGCGAAAATAAAAATATATAGTTTAAAAAAATATATATATATAACTTTTAAATATTTTAAATTACAGCGAAATTGATGTTAGGTTCAGGTTTTGCTCTTTCCAGTTTTGTTTTTATTTCACATACACATTTAAATTTCATATATGCAATTGTATATCCAGTTTAAAATTCTAATATCCATATCTGTTCTTATTATAGTTACAGAAATAGTACATTTTAAGAGTTAAAAAAGCATTAATACATTTATTAAAATAAATTTTAAATTGGCAAAACTTATTAGAGGAACTTAAACTATATGGAAAAATATAATCCTACTAATATTACTGCCCCCGAACTTTTGATCGGTTTTAGTTTTCAGCCAGAATGAAATTTTACATTTGTATTTATGGAAACATAAAATATTAGAATAATTACCCTAACCGTGTGTTCATCATGCGTTTAGTTCTGCGCGACATGAGAAGAGGTCGAGATCTGGAACAGATTCTCACACAGTACACCACGTTTGTTAAACCAGCTTTTGAAGAGTTCTGCCTTCCGGTGAGAAAACACACAGCAAAAGCCGAAATGACATTTGAGAGTTGTGTTATTGTAATACGATGCATTCACGACATCTGAAATCTCTCCCCAACCTCTCAGACCAAGAAATATGCAGATGTCATAATACCGCGTGGAGTTGATAACATGGGTAAATATGAGTCAAAAGGCAATACATATTAAAAAATAAGCCTTGCTTTTCAAAACTTTTTTGTCTTTTAAATCTTCTTTAGTGGCAATAAACCTGATTGTGCAGCATATTCAGGACATCCTCAACGGTGACATCTGCAAATGGCAGAGGGGTTCTGTCAATGGACACGCCCACGGGCGGAGTCTAAAGAGGGGCGTGGCTGAACACAGCGAGCAATCTAGCGGAGGCGGGATTGTCCCAGTGAAACGCCCCCTACTGGAGCCCAGCACACGACCACATTAACACACACACGCACACACACTAAAGAGAGTCATACGATCAAAAAACCTAAACGCTTGAATTTTTCTGCATGCTTCTAACACACAATCTCTGTCAGGCTCAGAATTTAAAGGAATATTTTTCATTTTTTGGTGAACTATTCCTTCTTATCTGAGTCATCTGACCCTTAGCGTGACCTTTAACCTGTAGTCACATCTTTCTCAAAGAGGAACTGTGCTGTATATATAAAATAGTCCTACATTACTTGTCAGATGCTAATCAGATTAATCTCTACTCATATGTTTATAATAACAGTCGGTACCTATAACAGGGTAAACTCAACACAAACAGTCCAGTCTGTATTTCACTGCCTGATCCGTCTCACAAGGTTATAATTTCACCACTCTAAAACTGTTACTTACACCTATAGAATAAAAAAGTCAACTTGTTTTGTTACTATTGTCAAGTATAATGGCATTTTAAACACCTGAAATAAAGTTTCAGTGCTGCCTTGTCTAAATCATAAACTCTTGTTTGGTCAGGATAAGACATGAAATAGATGAAGTAAAATACTTCTAGTGAATTATAGTGATAGTTTAGTATTTAAAATATTAATCTATCACCGATGTGACTATTTTTAATGTTCTGTATAATTTATGTTGTTCACCTCACTCTAATTTGTTTCTAAATGTAAATATGATAAAATAGTTCATTTGTAAACAGGTTTTGCATTTTTCTTGTACAAACCTTTTTGAAATATTAAAGAGAACATGCTTACGTGACTTGACGTCTAATGTTTTTTTACATTGTTTTATAAAATAAAAATGTCTGATAGAATGAAAATTCATTTCATTTTCATGTTTATTTGTACATCGCTTTTCGTAATAGGTGATGTACCATAGTAAAACATGTAACTACTGTGGTACTTGAATGACTAATGTTCATTTACACGCAAACAAATACCATTGTATTTGTCCAAGAAACATGGTATTAGCTATGAGGTAATATTCTACCATAGTACGGATTCTGAATATCCAAAAAAAACATACACAAAGAAAATCATGGTATTACCATGGTAACATGTCTAAAAGCAATGACCATGATATTTGCATATTACTACAAAATACAGTACTGTTCATTGTTTGGGGTCAGGATGTTTTTGAAAGTCACCAAGGCTGCATTTATTTGATAAAAAACAAACAAAAAAAAAACAGTTATATTGTGAAATATTACTCTATTTGAATATATATGTTAAACTGTAATTTATTTCTGTGATCAAAGCTGAATTTTCAGCATCATTACTGCAGTCTTCAGTGTCACATGATCTTCAGAAATCATTCTAATATGCTGATTTGCTGCTCGAGAAACATTTCTGATTATTATCAATGTTGAAAACAGTTGTGCTGCTGAATATTTTTGTGGAAACCATGCTACATTTTGACAGGATTCTTTGATGAACAGAAAGTTCAAAACAACAGCGTTTATTTGAAATAGAAATCTTTTGTAACATAAATGCATTTATTGCCATTTTTGATCAATTTAATGCATCCTTGCTGAATAAAAGTACTAATTTCTTTGGTGATGGCAGTAGTATGGCCTTTTTTTGTAGGTGTAAACATGCTAAATATAGTGTTGGAAAAATTCAAAGACAATACAAAGAGAGCAGTTTTATTGGTGGTTGAATATGCAGGATGTTATAGGTGTAACAGGAAATAAATTCCCAGAAGGCAGTAAACATCAGACGCCGCACACACACACACACACACACACACACACGCTGAAGAAAGCGGCTTCAGCTTCCCTTCTCCCATTTGTGAATAACAACGTTCTGTAGAAAAGCCACATTCACACACACACACACACACACACACACAGAGCGCTCTCTGATGCCCAGAGATCACAGCATATTCAGTCCTCGAGTTCTTTGCCTCATGATGTTATTTTAGTGTACGACTCATTTGGTTTGAAAATATATTTCCTCGCAACTGCCCTCTACATGATGAGAGATTATACATCACATCTGTACATGTACATATACACAGAACATATCATACACATCCCAAAAGAAACAAAAGCCTCCACAGGCACACTGTCAAACCGCTCGTCGCCAGGCAACACTGAGCCCCGCCCCTCTGTGTGACATCATAGTCCGCATAGGTAAATGTTAAAATAGTTTTTTGCAATAATCAAAAGACAAAAAAATTATAAATTAATTTTGGATAAAGGAAAAAAAGCCATTAAGACACAATATTCATGACAATTAAGCATATATCTAAATTTTGAGCCTTATTCATAAAGCATGAACAATTTTCTTAAAGCTTTTCTTATGTATTGAACAATTTAATGATTTTCTGTTTGAATCTTTCATAAGTCATTCTCACGTAAACTTATGAAAAATTTTATGAACAATTTACATTTTTTAAATTTGTTATGTTTTTGTTTCAAGAATGTGACCCATTTTCCCCTTCAAATTAGCATACATTTAATTTAATATTATTATGTTTGTACCTTATGAATGCACTTTGCTATTTAATTTAATTTAAATGAATCTATTTTTATTTTTTAATTAATATATTTTTTAATTAATGTATTTTTTTTGCATTTTGCAAGCTACTGAGAATTGGGACGAGAAAGAAATGTGCATGAAAAGGAATAGTCGTGAAAATAATGTCACAATGCAAATTTTTCTTTTTATTTTAAGGCAAAAAAAGCACACGTCCTTGAGGGTTTTCATGGGATTCGAGGGGCTGTCAGCATTGTGAGGGGGTAAACAGTTGTGATGAGGGTTGCACAATATTGCAAGACGACATGAAAAATGAGTCCAAACGTCCAGTTCATTCTTTAATTTTCAAATGAATATATTCCATATAGTCAATTACTCACTGCATCTGTCAAAACATAATCATTTCAACAGATCAGCGAATATTCCTTATAAAACGCTTATAGGATTGCACACGTTTCCCAATCGACCCAGTTGCACAGCTCCAAACGGGCGAATCGTAGGTTGAATCAGACCTTTGGAAGGTCAGATGGTACGTCCGAGCGGGACAAACAAACACGGACTCACTCCATCAGGCACAGTGTATTAATATCAAATGAACCAAGCCCTCTTAGAGTGTGTCTTTCTGTACAGCCACACATAGACACACGCAAACATAGCAATTTATAATGATTTCGCTTTATATCACAGCGTTGGGGTCCTCTCCAGCCCTGTGAGCTCGCGCGAGTGCGTATCTATACTGAATTAGGATTCCCCTCGTGAATTTTTAAAGTCAACAGTCAGGGAAAAAATACTGCCAATGTCTCAGTTTATTGGTGCAAATAGGAGCTTGCGTGTCTCGGTTCAGCTCCAGAACCGGATTAAGAACTCTAGGGTGGGTTCCCAAGGTTCTGCAGGAGGTTCAGGTCTCACCGTAAATAGTCTCTTGAGGTTCTAGATTTCAGGATCTAGGTCTTCTCCTCTCGCTCTGTCCTGCGGCGCGAGATGTTTCGTGGTTTGATCTTGAGCGAGAGCTCCCATAACGCCTCCTCCGCCAGGTGATCGCTAAAGTCGTTGAAGAACGAGACGATGTCTTCGTTCCGTTTCAGTTCGTAGTGTCTAAAATGACGATTAAAGAGAAAAATTAATAATTGAACCAATTTTTAAATCAGTTACTAGTGAAATCAGCAACTGATATATGAAATGTATATTAAATTAAACATTATTAATACATTAAAAACATCATATAATAATTCATATTAACATGCATTAATGACTTACACATGAAATAATCTTACACATGAAAAAACTAAATAGTTCCAGCTCTAAAAAATCATGCATTGAAAAATTGATAAACCAAAAGTATGAATTTCTATCTCATAATGACTTAGTATCTCATAATTGTTTGTCATAATTATGACTTTTTGTCAATCATGACGGTCATAATTGTGTCAATGTTGACTTGACATAATTACGACTGTCATAATAAATATGACTTTGTCATTACTGTTCTTTTGTCATAATTATGACGGTTTATTTCATAATGACTTAGTATGTCAATTTTGACTTGTCATATTTATGAAAGTCATAACTTCAACATCATAATGACCTACAGTATATCTAATTTTGACTAATTACATAAATTTTATTTGTCATAAGTTAGACTTTTTACGTTGATTTTGTCATAATAAATATATATGTGACCCTGGAGCACAAAAGCAGTCTTAAGTCGCTGGGGTATATTTGTAGCAATAGCCAAAAAAAACATTGTATGGGTCAAAATTATCGATTTTTCTTTTATGCCAAAAATTATTAGGATATTAAGTAAAGATCATGTTCCATGAAGATATTTTGTTAATTTCCTACCATAAATATATCAAAAGTGTATTATCATTAGTAATATGCATTGCTAAGCAATTTTCTCAATATTTAGATTTTTTTGCACCCTCAGATTCCAGATTTGCAAATAGTTGTATCTCAGCCAAATATTGTCCTGTCCTAACAAACCATACATCAATGGAAAGTTTATTTATTCAGTTTTCAGATGATTTATAAATCTCAAGTTCAAAAAATTGACCCTTATGACTGGTTTTGTGGTCCAGGGTCATATATGACTCATAATTGTTTTTGACATAATTTACTTTTTATCTCATAATGACTCAGTATCTCATAATTTCAACTTTATACGGCTGTAATAGTTATATTTTTTGTCATAATTTTGACTTTTTATGTCACTTATTGAGACTTGTCATAATAAATATGACTGTCATAATTTTGTAATTATGTATGACTGTCATAACTTTTGTCAATTTCAACATTTTATCTCATAATAAACCCACAGTCTCTCAGTATCTTTGACTTTTTGACAATGTCTGTCATAATTTAGACTTTTTATGTTGACTTTGTCATAAATATATATATATATATATATATATATAAAAACACATAATTGTGTTTTTTGTCATAATTTCAATTTTTCATCTCAAAATGACTCTTTATGCAATAATTATGCTTAATGAAACTTTTTCTTCTTACGTGGTGGAAACGGATGAGTGATGTTTGATTTGAACACAGCCTTTCAAGCCTCGTTGCTTCATTCTACAAATCAGTTCAAGTGAAGTCTACACCAGACTTTTGGACTGCAGCTTGAATCACGTGTAATCTAATCTCATGCTCGTCAAACGCTGGGTTTCAGGCCAGCCATTACTCACACTTGCTGGAAGCGTCTCATGCTGTCCAGAATGTTGAACTGCTGCCAGCGCTTGGAGAAATTCACTTTACCGTCAATAAAATCCGGGTTTCCGAGGTGAACAAACGTCAGGTCCTGTAGGATCAAACCCCTGTCAGGGAAAAAAAAAACCTTATTAGCAAAACTAAAACATGGAACATTAAACAATTATCAATAACTGTCGTGTGTGTGTGTGTACTCTATATATATCTATATATATATATATATATAAAATATACACCAGATTAACACAGTTTTGAATGTTTATTTTTAATAATACATATTTAATTAGCATGAAATATTTTAGTTATTTTTTTTTTTTCAGCAGTGAAATGAGTTACTGTTTAGTTTTATTTAATAAAGGCATTTTTATTGAAATTCAGCAGATGTGCATGTCAGTGTTTGTTATTGCTAACAAAAACGATTAAAAATAATTTTCGGTAAATAAAATGAAGATTAAATAAAATAAAGTTGAAAAATAAAACGCAAAACTTGAACTTAAATTAGAAATGTTGCCTTGGCAACTAACTGAAATACGTTT